GAGACATTGGAGAATACAGAGAAGCAGTTGGAAAACTTCTCTATTTGAGCAAAACCACGAGGCCTGACATCACAGCAGCAGTTGGCATCTTATGCAGAAAAGTGAGTTCGCCTAACCATCATGATTGGAGTGCAATAAAGAAACTAGCACAGTACCTGAAAGGAACAGTGGACTTAGAACTGAAAATTGCACCATCTGAAAGGCCAAGACTAGTTGGATATATGGACGCCAACTGGGGAGAAGAATCAAACAATTTCAAGTCAACAAGTGGATATCTGTTCTTCTACGGAGATGCACTAATAAACTGGACCAGTAGAAAGCAAACTGTTGTGGCGCAGTCTACAGCAGAAGCTGAGTGTGTCTCAGCAGCAAGTGCCTGCAGTGAACTTGAATTGATTTTTCATTTGTTGAAGGACTTTGGAATAAGTGAACCTGTACCTGTAGTTACGTTTGAGGACAATCAAGCATGTATTACTATATGCAAGGGAGAAAGCACCACAGCGAAAAGTTGATCTATTGGTATTAAGTGTGCACTAGTGAAAGATTTGTACCAGAAGGGGCTAATAGAGATTGAGTATTGTTGCACAGAGGAAATGGTGGCTGACATTTTGACTAAGCCACTGACCAAAGAAAAATTTGAACGTGGAATGTTGAATATGGTTGATCCAAATGTTAAAGTGAATCATGAGTGATGTTTGTTGTGTGTGCGTGTGGAATGACTTACATGTTAGACCTTGAGAAGGGGTGTTGGAAATATGTGTGTTGCAAGGTCTAAAATTCAGTCATTATAGGGTTATCGTGTTTACTTTGTGTGCTGTTGTTTAGACTGACCTGGAAGGGAACCTGGCACAAAGCCAGTGGGGAGAAAGCCCGGGAAACGGAAGCCTATTTACTAACAATCATTGGTTCATGCATTCAGGTGATTTCCTTCTAGGGGTCAAGAAGAAAGGAAGAATCTCCATGACTATCTGTGTGACTGTTGTTGCAAGCATGTAGTCTTAGGTGCTTGCTGTTTTGTAGATTTTCCTGTGTACCCTTCCCTTTAGAAATAAAGATTTTTACATAGAAAGAAAATGCCTCCTCTTCAGTGAACAAAAATCCATTGCAAACTCTGAATATTTTTTTACCAATTTTCCAACATAGGGTTGCCAGATCCAGGCTGGGAAACTCCTGGGGAGGACAGGGACCTCAGTGGGGTATAAAGCCACAGAGTCCACCCTCCAAAGTCTCCATGTTTTCCAGGGCAGCTAATCTCTGGAGATGAGCTGTAATTCTGGGGGATCCCCAGGTCCCACCTGGAGGCTGGCATCCCTATCTAGGAGATATATCTATGGTAGGCCAGACATGTGTCTCAGTAGGTAGTGTGACCACATACTGTGAGGATTTCAATGCATAGGGCATGGTAGTGTATAACTTTTTATATTCCAGGTTATACTTTAGGAAATTAGGTTTTATGGATTCATAGAATCAGAATCATAGAGTGGAAGAGACCTCCAGGGTCATCTAGTCCAGCCCCCTGCACAAGGCAGGGAATTCACAAATACCTCCCCCCCTCCACACCCCCAGCGACTGCTGTTCCACGCCCAGAAGATGACAAAAAACCTCCGGCCAAACTGGCCTGGAGAAAGAATTGCTTCCTGACCCCAGCGTGGCGATCGGCATTTCCCTGGGTGTGTAAGCTCGTGCTCTTTTCTACTGCTACAGACAGACTGACACAGCCACCCATCTCCATCAGTCTTCTTTGATGTCTCTCGAGTCTCTAACTCCCCAACTTGACTCAACTTACTTACAACCAGGGTTACCAGCTCTGGGTTGGGAAATATTTGGAGTTGGAGCCGGGGTAGGGAGGTGTCCCGTCCAGCGTGAGCTGTGGCTGAGCCAGCGCTTTCTAGCTGTGAGCCAACACACAACCACTAAAGAAAGCTTTTAAATCATCTTTATTCAACTTCACACGCATTCAGAAGATCATTTACTCACAATCGTCCAGATGGCTGGGTGGAAACTTACATCTTGTGATCTAGGTTAGTTCAAAAGCCGCGGTGAGAAAGAGATGGGCTTCCCCTCTCATTGCAGTAAGGGTTGATGGACAAAGAAAATGGAAAAGAACAATAAAATCCTATCTTTGTGCCTCTGAGCTCAGGAAATTGCTCTTAATGAGCCAGTCAGAGGGAAGCTTCTGGGACCCCTAACTGTGGACGCCAATTCCCAGGTGCACAAGTCTTAAAGATACAGAGCAGTTTTACTAAACTACAGATAACGCTGACTGGGGGCAGCATAGGAGGGGTTTGGGGAGGGGAGGGACCTCCTCAGTGGGGTACAATGCCAGAGAGTCCGCCCTCCAAAGCAGCCGTTTTCTCCCAGGGAACTGATCTCTGTTGTCTGGAAATCAGTTGTAAAAGTGGGAGATCTCCAGGCCCCGCCTGGAGACTGGCAAGTGTACTTTAACCCTTAAATCCTCAGATCTAATATTAATACAAGTAAGAGTTTCCCTTTGGAAAGTAGAATGCTTCGTTTTTTCCCCTTAAAAATCATAATCTAAATTGCCTCACGTTTCTTCTCCATGCCTTGTCTCTCTTTCTCCCAAACTAGGTGCATTTGCACCTCTCTTGCTCAACTTTTCTCATCTGCTCTGACTTCTGACTTTCTTCAGTGCCAACAATATTTTGGAATCCCTGTCCAGAGTTGCTGCAAACAGAACAAGGGACTCTTATGCATTCCCATTTCCCTGGTGTGTGTCCTTATTGGTTTGGGGTTTTTCTTCTTCTTTTCTACATGTCTCTTGCTCCCTCAAGTGGTCCATTCAATATTATATCTCTGTAGGTCCACCATAGAAACCTGCAGTTTAAATCTGCAGGGAGATGTGCCGGACATACAGCGCTGTAATATCATATTGACCACTAGAGGGAGCAAAACGTGTGTGGAAAAGGGGAAAAAATCTGAAGCAATAGGGACCCACAAGCTAGGAATGTGGAAGAGGCCAAGTTTTGCTGACATCAGATGCAGGGCAAACACCAAGACTTGAAGATTGATATTATGTCAACATTTTCAAAATGAACAGAAAATGTTTCAGCAGGCTTCAGCCTGATTGTAGTTCTGTGGGCCTCTGGGCCTTTAGATTTATTACCTACGTCAGGGCCTGTTACAAGCCGTAGGTCTAACAGAGGCTTTAACTCTTTCTTTCTCTCTGCTTGTTCCCATGGCAGGTAGAAATTCTGTCCTCCAGGCAAGCCCTGCGGCCCCTCCCCAGTGAACAGGTAATCCCCTGAGCCTCCCCCTGCCTCCCCCCTCCCGCCTCTCTCTCAGTTCCAGTTTGGGAAATTCATGGAGATTTGCAGCTAAAGGCTGGGGAGGGCGGGGTTTGGGGAGGGGGCGGGTCCGTCCTCCAAAGCGGCCATTTACACCTTATCTCCCCGGAGTCTGGAGATAAGAAGTGATTCCAGGAGTTCTCCAGGCCCCACCTGGAGGCTGCCACCCCTGCTCACACCCTGCATACGTTCATGGGCCCAGACAGAGTGCCAAGGGGTGAGGTATAGGTAGGTACGTGGTCCTTCCTTGGTATGCTGTAGACTGGGGTCATTTCGAGAGGGAACGAGCTGGAATGGTGTTCCTGGGTCCCGGTCACACAGGCTGGAAAATGCGGGGGGGAAGCATGGCTGTTTGCCCTGGAGCAGAGTAATGCACGGCAGCCCGATCACATGTCCCGTGTGGAGGTCCCGTGGGCATGCCGTTAGGTGCCGATCACACGGCTATCTTGCAGTGCGGCAAAGAAGCGGCGTAGTGCGATCACACTGGCATATGCTAGGTGCCGCTTCCGTGGCAAACAGGAATTTCTGACCCTCAACACAGTGTGCGCATGTGCCCGTGGGCGTTTGTGCGCATCCTGTGGAGACTTTAAAAAAAAACATCCGGTTTGCGACGGGACATGGGCGGGTGCCGGATGCCACGGGATTCCAGCGGAAACGCGATCAGACTCCCACCCTTGCGCCGCGTTTTCCGGAAACTAGCACATCGTATGTACTAGTTTTTTACTCCATATCTTCGGCAAGAAGCCACAGGTTAGCCACGGGTGCACTACGCTTCCCAGATGTTGCGGTGTGATCGCGCCCGGAAAAATCCACCTATCATCCATATCTTTAGCGCGGCAAATGCTCCACGTGAACGGGACCCGGGAGTAACAAGCCCAGGAGTAGGGGAACCCAGGCATGCTCGCCTGCCTGTCCTTCCCTTCCCTTCTCCAGCCAGCCAGCCCACCACGGTGAGTTGGCTGAGGAAGGGAAGGGCAGGCGGGCAGGCAGACATGCCCCCTTTTTTTCCTGACCCGCTCCGCTTTTGCGGAGAAAGTCGGGGAAGTGGGTGGGCGGATATAAATGCCTTTCTTTTCCTTCCCTTGCCAGCTCTGGCTTGGGAAATTCCTGGAGATTTGGAGGGTGGAGCCTGGAGAGGGCAGAGTTTGTGGAGGGAAGGGACTTCAACTCCAGCCTCCAAAGCATCCATTTCCTCCAGGGGAACTGATCTCTGTCGGCTGGAGATCAGCTGTAATAGAGGGAAGTGTCAGGTCCTGTCGTAACCACTCAGTACGCAACAGTCCTTTAGCAGGTTTATTGGTAAAGTATGGCTTCTGGTCAGGTGAACACCTTTGCCAGAACTGGCGGACAAAAGCATTGGGATAGATTTCAGGGTATGGGGTCCACCCCTCATGCACACGTCAGGCAGCGACAGGTCATGAGAGAATATATGACCTAACTAGCCAGGGCTTTTTTTGTAGAAAAAGCCCAGCAGGAACTGGTTAGCATAATAGGCCACACCCAACAGTAGGAACTCATTAGCACATTAGGCCACACCCCTGATAGCACAGCTCATTAGCACATTAGGCCACACCCCCATGTTACCAGAAGAGTGGTCATCCAGCCACACCCACCTTTTGCTTCTTATTCTGTTTACCTTGTTTGTTGTCAAAACCCAGGGCCTTTTTTTGGAGCAGGAACTCCTTTGCATGTTAGGCCACACACCCCTAATGTAGCCAATCCGAATGAGTTTCTGAGGATTTAAGGGTTAAAGTAGATTTGCCAGTCTCCAGGCAGAGCCTGGAGATCTCCCACTTTTACAACTGATTTCCAGACAACAGAGATCAGTTCCCTGGGAGAAAATGGCTGCTTTGGAGGGCGGGCTCTCTGGCATGGTACCCCACTGAGGAGGTCCCTTCCCTCCCCAAACCCTCCCTACCCCGGCTTCAACCCCTAAATCTCCAAATATTTCCCAACCCAGAGCTGGTAACCCTAGTTGTAAGCAGGGCCTTTTTTGTAGAAAAACCCAGCAGGAACTCATTAGCATAACAGACCACACCCAACAGCAGAAACTCATTAGCATATTAGGCCACACCCCTGACAACACAGCTCGTTAGCATACTAGGCCGTACCCCCATGTTACCAGAAGTGGGCTCACCCAGCCACACCCACATTTTGCTTCTTATTCTGTTGACCTCGTTTGTTGTCAAAACTCAGGGCCTTTTTTTTTGTAGCAGGGACTCCTTTGCATGTTAGGCCACACACCCCTAAAGTAGCCAATCCTAATGAGTTCCTGCTGTTGGGTGTGGCCTATTATGCTAATGAGTTCCTGCTGGTCGTGGCCAACTCGGGAGCCAGCCGGAACTCCGTTCCTGTGCGTTCCTGCCCCAAAATAGCCCTGTAGCGATATCTCTTAGTGAGTCTCCCAAGGCCACGGCTCCAGCTGGGGCCTGTGAACTCTAAGGGGGCTGCTTAGGAACAATAGAAGAGGCGCCTTAGCTATCACTCCTTTCACACATTCACACACTCCCCACCCCTCAGGAATGTCAGGGAGGACTGGCCGCTTAAAAGTACACATAAGCAATTACGGTAGCTAAGCGGGTATACAAAAGCGGAAGTTGGCAACAGCCATCAAAGGCAGTTAACCCACATGAACATAAGTACGACCCATTCAGCAGTCTGATTCTGACAGGGAGGTCTCCAGGTGCCGCCTGGAGGCTGGCAACCCTAGCCTTAGCAAAGGAGCCATTCCTCTGCTCCCTCTCAATTCTCAATCCCCTTACCTCTTGTAGATGGCGTCGTATTTTGGGCACACGGTTGCGGTGGCTGATATCAACGGAGACAGGTGAGGAGTGGGGGACGGAGTGGCAAATTCCGGTCTGGTGTGGCTTTGAGGGTGGGCCGAGCAGGGCTCATCCATTTCTTTTCATTTTTATTTATGTTATTTTTATATAAAAAACCCATATCCCGCTTTTCTGCCCTGACCAGGGCCATCCGAGGCGGCTAACAAATCATACATAATAAAATCACCCTCCCAAAACCATTAAAACAATTAAAAGCAGGCCTAAGTGCATGCAAAACAGAGACAACCATTAAAAACATTGGTCAGGAAGGGAGGATCACCGGGGGAACATCAAATGCAACAACGACAACAAAAAGTCTTTCCCCGCTGGCAGACGTCAGCAACAGAAGGGGATGGATAAATCTCTCTGGGGAGGGGGGCGTTCCAGGGTTTTGGTGCCACTGCAAAGAAGACCTTACCTTGGGTCGCCACCAATGCTCCCTCTAAGCTGTGCAGTCTTGTGAGCAAAAATTCTACTTTGTGAGCTCCTGGCATTAAAGTTGTGAGCAGTGTTCCCTCTAAGCTGAGTTAGTGTGAGCTGGCTCACATTTTTTTATCCTCCGGCTCACACATTTTTGTCTCAGCTCATGAAGGAGGGCTCCAGAGTAACCTAATTTATGCAGCAGCCAAGTCGCTCGCTCACAACTTTGATGCCAGTCGCTCACAAAGTGGAATTTTTGCTCACAAGACTCCACGGCTTAGAGGGAACATTGGTTGTGAGCCAGCGATTTGGCGGCTGCATAAGTTAGTTTGCTCTGGAGCCCTCCTTCCTGAGCGAAGACAAAAAGGTGTGAGATGGAGGCTTAAAAACCGTGAGCTAGCTCACACTGACTCAGCTTAGAGGGAACACTGGTTGCCACTGGTCTGGCCTCAGATGTTGGGGCACACGAAGAAGGGCCTTTGAAGATGACTGAACTGGCTGGGGGGGGGGTTGATAAGGGAGCAGGCTGTCCTTCATGCAGGGCTTTGAACGTCAAGACCAGCATCTTGAATTCTGCCCAGGAAAAGATTGGGTGCCAGTGTGGATGGGCCCAAGGCTGGAGTGACAGGGTCAGCAATAGCATCCTGTCTGCAGCTTTCTGCACCAATGAAAGTTTCTGAACACTTTTCAAGGGCAGCCTCAGGCACAGCATGTTGCAGTAATCTAGTCGAGGCAGCACCACAGCGGCCAGGTCTTTTCTGCCCAGGTATTGTGTAGTGGGTTTGCCGCATGGACGAAAGACACAGACTGGCATAGTGCATAGCACGCTTTATTGGTACACAACAAGACAAGGGACTAACGGCCGGCCGGCCAACTATATAACACCCCTGGGCCACACCCCTGGGTCCCGTTGGTGGGTTTGAATCTCCCGCCACGGTTCCCAATGGCTCCCCCAGTGGAGGGACTAGGAGCCTAGTCCCTATTGTTCTCCCAGAGTCAAGCTCTGGGGTAATCGCTGGCCCTGGAGCCGGTCAGTGTACACAACACCAGAAAAGGCGACTGTGCCAAACTAGTGAGTGCATTCCACCTGGACAGCCTCTGGCTGGAGCCTCCTGCTGGAAACTCCTCTGTGGTTGAAGCAGAGCCCCTCCCCTCCCCTCCCCTCCCCTGCTTTTCTGTCTTCCTTTCTCCTGCCAAAGAGTTCCCCGTCGCTGGCCTCTGCTGCCATCACCTGTTGGCGAGCCATTCCTGCAGCCAGGAAAACAATAGGAGACAAATGACGTGCCCCCCCACCCAGCCCCTACAAGCTTTTTGTGGTGGGACCCAGTTCTGATTTGACCCTGGCCGACCTTGATGCAAAGTAACACTCCTTTCCCTGCTTCTCAACGTGAAACGCGAGAATCGAGCATCAGCGAACTGCAAACGACTTATCTAGGGTTGCCACCTACAGGTCGGAAATTCTTGGAAGTTTGGAGGCAGAGCCTGGGGTGGGCGGGGCTTAGGGAGGAGGGGAGACCTGTTCTCTGGAGGCCAAGTCTACCAATATAGTGGAAAGGGGTGGGTAGACCTGTCCTCTGGAGGCCAAGTTACCAATATAGTGGAAAGGGGCAGGTAGACCTGTTCTCCGGAGGCCCCCCCGCTCCCGGCGAAGATAGACTTGGCAACCCTACCCCCCCCCACACACACACACACTGGTTCCTCACCCAAGCCACCGAAGCAGCACGGTGTGGAAGATGCCAATGAACCCAACTCCTCTGCAGCCGGCAGTGGTCAATTGCTCGGATCATTTTCAGTTTATGCGCCGCATGGGAGGAGACTGATATGCCTGCTTGGGCCTGTGCCACTGTTGGGCAGGTGCCAGTTACAGCTACTGCAGGACCTGGCTTTGAGGAGGGCTCAGGCCCAGGAGTGGGTGGGTGGGTGGCAGAACGCCTCGAACCGGTCCTGTGGCCGCCAGCCACAATGTTGGTTGCTTGGCGGAAGGCGAGATAATAGTCCTGCGGTTAAGACGCTGAACTGCAGGCTGTGGAAGGTTGGTAGTTCAGCAGTTCGAGACCCTAGTGTGCCGCATGACGGAGTGAGCTCCCCTCTCTAGTTCCAGCTCCTGCCATCCTAGCAGTTCGAAAGCAAGAAAATTGCAAGTAGATAAATAGGGACCACTTCAGTGGGAAGGGAACAGCGTTCCGTGCACCTTGGTGTTCAGTCATGCCGGCCACATGACCACGGAAACGTCTTCGGACAGCGCTGGCTCTTCAGCTCTGAAACGGAGATGAGCACCGCAACCCTAGAGTCGGACTCGACTGGCTTTCAAGCAAGGGAACCTTTACCTTTACCAATCTGTGCATTCAAAGGCTGTTTCGGTCCCAGCTGAAGCCTCCACCAATCACCCTCAGTGAACACTGAAACTGCAGGGGGCATCAAACTCTCGTTGTGCATTTGGGAGGAACCTGAGAACCCCTGGTGTCAGAGTTCCCTCTAAGCTGTGCTAGGGGGTGCTGGCAGGCAAAATTTTAGCCAGCCACACGGGGAGAATTTGCTCTGCTCACAACTGAAAGAAGGCATTTCCTTCCTTCCATTGGGAAGAATGGAAGATGGGGGCACTTCCCTCTGAGGCCCATAGAATTGGCCCCCCTGGTCCAATCCTTTTGAAACTTTGGGTTTCTTTTAAGCAGAGACACAAACAGCTATGCTGCAAATTTGGTGCCTCTGCCTCAAAAAACAGCCCCCCAGAGTTCCAGATACCCCCAGATCGATTCTCCATTATAACCTACGGGGCCCATTGACTATAATGGTCTCCAAAGGCTATAATTGAGCCAGGGGGAAAAAATCAATTTTTTTTCATACCCCTATTATGTAAGTTATCTTGAGTCACATGGAAAAGTGGGATATAAATATTTGAATCAGTAAGTAGTTTGGGCTGGTTGATAACATCTAAGCAACTTCCTGTTTGTTAGGTTAGACAGGGTTCTGACAAAGATTGTTCCACCTCTGTTGTACTTGACCTGTAATGCTGGTTGTCATATTTAACTAAAAAACACCAAAGTAGACTGCAAGAGTTCCCGTCCCTCCCAAGTGCTGGTATGTTTTCTAAGGCACAGCGCAGGGTGACGTTCTGAGACCAGGTCTACCAATATAGTAGACTGGGGCGGGTAGACCTGTTCTCTGGAGGCCAAGTCTACCAATATACTAGAAAGGGCTAGACCTGTCTCTGGAGGCCAAGTCTACCAATGTAGTGGAAAGGGGTGGGTAGACCTGTTCTCCGGAGGCCAAGTCTACCAATATAGTAGACTGGGGCGGGTAGACCTGTTCTCTGGAGGCCAAGTTACCAATATACTAAAAGGGGTGGCTAGACCTGTCTCTGGAGGCCAAGTCTACCAATGTAGTGGAAAGGGGTGGGTAGACCTGTTCTCCGGAGGCCAAGTTACCAATATAGTAGACTGTGGCGGGTAGACCTGTTCTCTGGAGGCCAAGTTACCAATATACTAGAAAGGGGTGGCTAGACCTGTCTCTGGAGGCCAAGTCTACCAATATACTAAAAGGGGCGGGTAGACCTGATCTCCGGAGGCCAAGTCTACCAATATAGTAAGGGCGGGTAGACCTCTCCTCTGGAGTCCAAGTCTACCAGTATAGTAGACTGGGGCGGGTAGACCTGTTCTCTGGAGGCCAAGTCTACCAATATAGTAGAAAGGGATAGGTAGACCTGTCCCTGGAGGCCAAGTCTACCAATATAGTGGAAAGGGGCAGGTAGACCTGTTCTCTGGAGGCCAAGTCTACCAATATAGTGGAAAGGGGCAGGTAAACCTGTTCTCCGGAGGCCTGGTCTACCCACGTAGAGGACATTTTCTGTAATGAAATTTGACTTGATTCTATTTTCTCTTATATATAACGTTTAAATTATTCTTAAAATATAGTTTAAAGATAGTTTTTAAAAATTATGGTTACGGAAATAACCTTCTAAAAAACTAATCTACGCAATAGTCAAATGTAGACTCGCTCACAACTTTAATACTACTAGCATTTTTCGCTCACGAGGTAGGATTTTTGCCCACAACGTTGTGGAGCTTAGAGGGAACATTGCCTAGTGTGTAAAACCTCTCCTAAAGCTCTCCTCCCTTCGCCCCCAGGAAAGACGACATTCTTGTGGGGGCCCCCCTCTTCATGGAGCGCCGTCCAGACAGCAAACTCTACGAAGTGGGGAGAGTTTACTTGTACCTGCAGCGGAAGACCCCCCATTCCTACAGTGTCCCCTGGCAGAAACTGACTGGCACGGATGTCTATGGGCGCTTTGGCATGGCGATTGCACCCCTGGGTGACATGGATCAGGATGGATACACCGGTTAGGAAGGAGGGGGGGCACCTTTTTGACTTCGGGCAAAATCCCAGTTTGCTTTGTCCTCTCCCTTCCCCGCCCTTCACAGTAGCTATCCCTGAAGGAGCAACAAAGAGAGCATCCCTCCCAGCAGGGGTCCACATGGAGAGCCCTGCATTACATTGGGTCGCCAACTTTGGGTCAGGAAATTCCTGGAGATCAGGTGGCAGAGACTGGGGAGTGCAGGGTTGGGGAGGGGAGGGATCTCAGCGGGGTATGGGGTCATTTCCTGCCAGAACACCCCGGAGCGGCGCTCTGGCAGTAAGGAGCCCAGGCCCCCCCCGCCTGCCTTTCCTGGCCCGCCCATGGACAGACTCAGGGAGGAGAGACTGGGGGGGGGTGGATGTTGCAGAGAGACTCGGGGGGGGGTTAATTATGGGGCACGGGGCACCTGGAGAAGATCGGGCAGGGAACCCAGGCATGCCTGCCTCCCTGCCCTTCCCTTCTCTAGCCAGCCAGCCAGCCACGGCGGGTTGGCATCCCTGAGCCTCTCCGCTTTTGTGGAGAGACGAAGGGGAGGGGATTTAAACTCATTTGCATATGAGTTATTTTAAACTTGCCTGCCCTTTGTCTATGCAAATGAGCTATGCAAATGAGCTCCTGCGCCTCTTTTTCTAGGAAATGACCCTTATGTAAATGCCATAGAGTCCACACCCCCACAAGCAACCATTTTCT